AATGAAATTAACTAAACCATGATGACATTAGCAGTTACCATGCATTTAGAGTTTTACATGTCACAAACTTAAAGTTCACAAAGTTTGCTAAACATGCAACCATCTATATGTGCACTGACAAGCTTATGTTAAAAACTTTTAAGAATACTCTCTCCCCTGCATTCACTATTCTATAGCAATGGTTGACAGTCGGGTACTTACCCATGGATTTATTGTAGTTAGTCGCTGTCGTGGCAAACCCATGTTGGTAGAGTGGCATTCCTCCGTGGGGTTTTCAAGGCAGTGACCTTTCTGAAGCAGATTGCCACACTGCTGTAGGTGAGTTCACACTTCTAACCTTTGGGCCTGTAGTCAAGGCCTTAACCGTTTGCACCACACAGGGACATCTTACACAAATTCAGCCCAAGGCTAGATAGTAACTTGAATCTTAACTCTTGATGTTACTCTCCTATTACATTTTAATATTTCCTAAGATTGTTGGGATACTGAAAGAGTGTGTTGTAGCTGCATCACTCAGTGCTTTGTAGAACAATGGGGGTTTATTAACCTGTTCAAAGTGTCCACATTAATACACTAGAAGAAGAGCAAGTAAAAAATAGGACAAGCAGAAGGTATAAAATAATGAAGAGCAACAGTCAATAACATAACACAATAAAAATTAAAATTTGATTCTTTGAACAGGTTAATAAATGGGTAGGGATTGAACAAGACTTACTGTAAGAAAGAGAAACATGATATGAAGAATTAGAGCTATCACCACAGATGCCACAGATATTCTAAAGTGTGGGATTTCCCCCAACTTGTCTCCCCAAATAGATGCCAAACTTAGCTGCTTGCTACACATGGTAAACACTTGGAGGCCAATGAAATTAGGTCAGAGGTTATTCTCCCTGGGAGTATCAGCCATTTTGAGCAATCAGACTGTGTAATCTGTCCCACCCTAAGTAGGGCCCACTTCCTTCTGATAAGGATAGTAGATTGTTTCCCTGAAGGAGAGAGAGCCCAGGGAGGTCAAGCCCATTCATGGTGACCAAGATCAGGCTGCCATATTGAGTCTAGGGTCCGCCCATCTTGTCACATGTGTATCCCCTAATCCCTCCCTGTTGTGTGTACACCCCTGGCTCATCCCCTTCCTGTGACACGTATGCCTATTGTACAGGCCCTTCCTGTTACACGTATGGTTACCTGTAATCACACCCCCAAAGATATATAAGCTTTGGTTAGAAATAAATCACAGCTCTCTCCTGCCCTCTCTGCCCATGCTGTGCACAGACCTGGCTGATGAG